TCCACGAGGGAAAAATGCACAATATTACCGTGATTACAGAGCACGGAAGCGAGCGGAGCAGGAAAAAGAGTCGTTGAATAGAACTAGTGATCCTTCTACGACTGCTGATTCTTCTACAATTAACGTCGCAGGTTACGAAGTTTAACTTCTTCCGCTCAGAGGGACTCCACGCACTATTTTTTTTTATAAATTATTCACTTAACAATATTTTCCATTTATATCTGCATGGGGTCTTTTTTGCTGTATTATTATTAAATTTTCAATATTTAGCATTTTTCATATTTTTTTTTGAAAAGCATATCTATCATATATGAAAATGCTTTAATTTTTTTTTATAAATCATATTAACCCGTGACTAAATACGTGGGTGGGTAGGTACTTTTAACATGTCACTTTTACGATATGGGTAGGTACTTTTTACGACTGTCTGGAAAACATTCCCGAGGATGATCCGAAGACATGCCATCAAAATTTTGATCCTCTGCAAAGGGAACGGCTCCTCCGCTTTCGTATCCCGACAACCTGCGCGCTAAGTCGAGCACTTTACAACAGAACAGTTAAATGAGGACCGATACCACGCACCCTTGGTCTCTACGCAGGCTGATTAAAGTGGTCACCCACCCGCTAACTGACTACAGATACTCGACTTCGGCAATTAACTGGGAACTATGTCTTTACGAACAAGTGACTAGTTACAAAAATCCTATTTAATGCATATAAACACTCCGTGCAAACCATTTTAACAACTTCATTACACAACACACTCGCTACACTAGCGTTTCCCAAACGTTTTCGACTGCGGCCAAGTATGAGATTTTAAAATTTTTCGTGACCCATCGTATGAAAAGAAACATTTATTTACAAATCAAATTTTATTTTTTAATAAAAATCAAGTTTCTTTTTCCAATGCCCACCTGGAGAATGACCTTTCGTCATACAGGCATCTGAAGGTCAGATTTGTTGACCACTCATTCAGAGCCACCATTAGGTAGGCCAACGTTGCTCTCACAGTAAGAACAGATAGTACAGAGAATGAAAGAACATCTATGCCTTTCTCGGGATTCAAACCCAGAACCTCTCTGAATCAGAGCCAGTTCCCTGACCTAGGGTTGCCACAGTAAAAAATGAACA